ATGACTCCTATACGGACCCCTCCCCCACCCATGTGTGTACGGACCCGAAGATACACTAATTAAATTAAGTGGTGTACTCCGTTCGGGCCCTACACGACGGTGGGTGGGGAGGGTCCTATAGGATCATTACTCTAAAAAAAAGGCACTTGATTATCAAGACAAAAGATATAATGTGATTCATGAGATAGGTTAATTGGCACCAACTCTGAATACACCGCTCCCTAGAAAAACTTAAAAACAAAATAGGAGGCTGATGCAGGAAAATTTGAGCGAATAGAAAAATCAGCAAGAAGCAAAGCCAAACACGAACACAATTCAAAGAACTTAGGGTTTCGCCTCCACACTGTTAGCTAGGGTTCCGAAAGCCTAAGGCCCCACACACGTCTTTTAATTACTAAAAATCATATAGAATTTAACCCCCTCAAGGCCCCACACACCTTTTATATATTATAATTTAATGTTCCAAGTACAAAGTGTCCAAACAAAAAATACATTGACCCTTGTAAACCAACTTAACTTAAAATTCATAATGACATTTTTACCCATATGAATAGTACTCGTGAGTAGTACTTGTGAATAATACTCATGAAATAAATAAAAAAATATAAAACGCTAGAACTCCTAAAAAACTAAAACTCTTAGAAATAAACCTTCAAACTAAAACTATAATATGCATTTTTTAAAATTGAATAAAAATAAAAAATAAAAATAATTCTACCCTCCATCATAGGCATATGTACTCATCAAATTTTCATGTTTTAAAGCAGCTCAATGAAGTAGACAGCAGAGAGTAATGGTAAAGTTTAATGCTTCTGAAATCAAATTGACTTTTCTAGTAAAGGTTCATGGAAATCCCCTTCCAAATCCTTATGTAAGGTCCATGTTTTGGATACACTTTTCTTGGGAATGCTGAAAACATTCACAAATAATAATGAACAAACAATTGAAAAAGAAATAGTGGATACTTTGACAAACAATTTATATCTTTTCTTTTTTCACTAAGTAATAAACGATTTATATCCGCACATCAAGGGAATACATTACAATGAAGCAACATATGTACATGCCAAACATTATATACGTTAATTTGCCTATAAATATTATAAATTTATTTTAATAATCATCAGGACTTATTTAATCAAGGGACAATATTTTGGGTTTCTAAAATATTGCTTTGAAAATTATTAATACTAAATAAACTTCACATAATTAAGAACGAACAATTTCAGGCTTTAAACTACATCGTAGGGCTTGGGGACATCAAACCAGACCAAGAAGCATGCAATCACAGTCTAGACCTAAATTACAAGAAGATGATTGATAGAAATAAACCGAGAAACAAAAGCCTGGGATTTCTAAGAAACTATGAAACATAGATTCGTGTGTCCAGCTCCAGCCATGTATGTGAACAACTTGGACACAAGCATGTGTTTAGAATGCGGAAATATACGCCTTGGACTGTTAAGCATAGTTGTATTAATTTTTTTTCAAAATACGCCTATCTGGAAACATAATAAGAAAGATGTTCCTACCTAATAGACAACATTTCAAAAGCATCCTATCCAAAAACAAAATAAGGAAAAAGGGCTGCTTTTTGAGCAACATGCACCTTAAGATATGTCAAAAAAGAATATAGTAAAAATTCCTAAGACAGCTGGCTTGTATCTAGTTTGGATATTTCATGTCCAAACATACCCTTTTTGCAATTAAAGTTTCCAATGCATGTATCTGTTTTGGAAACTTACACAGGCATCCATATCTGTGAAACATAGCTACGAAATGTCAAAATTCAGAATCAAGGTAATAATTTTTAGGATTAATTTCCTTCTAAAAACTGGAAAAAGAATAAGGGAAAACAGAAGTCCAATTTAAATTAATAGAGAGAAAAAGGTTCAGAGAGGGATAAACTTTGTTCGGGATGTTCTGGTCTAGAACTTAGTTGTTGATTATCTGGCTTTCAATGCCAAATATTTGGATTTTGTTTCAAGAATCTTATGTTTTTACTTTGTTGGGGAATTTGGGAGATCTGAATTTGTTTACTTTTTTTAGAGGACTAGGTTATTTGGGAGATCTAAAGGCCACACTTCGCGAACCTGGACTGGTCAATCCGGACATCCACAAGTCTCCGACTAGATCAAATAAGGTTTTGACCCTATGCTCCTTGACCCACGATGTTGACTTGGCACGCCAAGCTGAGTCAAGTGGTGACTCGTTGGTTCCAACTGGGTCTTGCTGGCTTGCACAAGTTGTGTTTAATAAACATAAAAATTTGGTTAGTCAACTCTTGACAACTTTTCTTCCGGAGTAAAACAACTTCAAAGAACAATTTTTAACTCCTTAACCACTTACCAAATATAACATAAATCAATGTTTGATGGGACCTTTTGTTTTTGTCTTCGTGAAAAAACTTTACAAAATTCAAATTTATTGATATACTTTGATTTTGTATTGCGGAAATGTGTTATTGAATTTTTTATTTTTAGTTTTGAATAAAATGTGTTAGTGTTAGCTTAAAATTGAGGTCATGAATTTAGTTTCCATTAGATGTATGAAATTATCTTCCTTATAGTTGGATATTTATTTTTATGATCTATAAAGAGTTCTAGTTTTTCTACAATAAGAATTCCCTTAAAGATTCTTGAAAACCTATATTGGACCTGCGTGGTCGACCAAGTCCCTGGTTGTCCTGACGCGGCAACTAACAAAATCTGGGTTGGATCGGGGTTTGTGAACTATGCTAAGCGTATTCTGCTTGGGAGAAAGAGTTTAAGGTTTAGCGAGAGACGGTTTTGTGGCTTGGAAAGGCTTCATCTTTGTTTTTTGTGGATGAAAGAAGGTAGACTCACATCAAAATCTATTTAGCTGTTTTCTGAGAATGATGAGATTACCTGATTTTTCCGTTAACCTATCCCAACAACTGGGGGTTTAGGCGATCCAAACTAATACTGTACTAGTGGAGAGACAAGTGAGTTTTTAATGACAATAGGTCAACATCAAAGCTCAGCATTGAGCCCATACCTCTTTGTCTTAGTTATGGACGACTTAACTAGGCATCTACAGGATGGGGTATTGTGGTCCATGTTGTCCACTGATGACATAGTTTTGATTGATGAGACCCGAAACGGCGCCAACATAAAGTTAGAACTTTGGAGGGATGCTTTAGAATCCAAAGGTCTTAAAATTAGTAAGACTAAGACAGAGTATATAGAGTGCAAGTTTAGTAATAATAGGAGTAGAGACGAGGAAGTAGTTAAGATTGATGGCTAGGAAGTACAAACAAGATCGCACTTTCGATATCTTGGTCGATAATCTAGGAAAATGGAGAGATCGGAGAAGATGTCGCACACAGAATTAGAGTTGGGTGGGCGAAGTGGAGATGTGCAACTAGAATTTTATGTGATCACCTCATACAGATGAGGCTGAAGAGCACATTCTATAGGACAACGGTGAGACCAGCTTTGCCCTATGAGGCGGAGTGTTGGGCGGACAAAATACAACGTACCCATAGAATGAGTGTAGCAGAGATGAGGATGTTAAGATGGATGAGAGGCAAGACAAGAAGGGATAGAATTTGAAATGAATCTATTGGAGAGAATATAGGCGTGGCACCAATAGGCGATAAAATGAGAGAGAGTAGACTTAGGTGGGCTGGCTATGTGTGGCGTCGGCCAAGTACAACACCTGTTAGGAGGTGTGAGTTAGTTTAAGTGGAAGGACTGAAAAGGGCAAGGGGTAGGCCCAAAAGAACGTTTTTGGAAGTAGTCCGAAAAGATATGGTGACTTGTGGTCTCACTGAGGATATGGCCTTTAATAGAGCAGTATGGAGAACTAGGATTCATGTAGTCGACCCCAATTAATTAGGAAAAGGCTATAACGATGATGATGTATTGGAAAAGAAACTCTATCGTTATTTTCACTATTAGAAAAACCAGGTGATCGAACCGCTAACCTCCCGGTTAGAATGGCCGGTTCCGGTTTTGGGCGGTTTTGGTGATCAACCGGTATTTAAAAAACAAATTAAAAAAAAAAAGTATATAAAATCGCAAAAATAAAGAATTTGGTTTATTATTCAATTTTTAATATTCTTTACATTTTGGTAAAGATTAAAAATTGTTTTGGTTATTCATACTCACTTTTATATTGTCCCATCCATTTTAGAAAATTTTAAAAATACTCTTGGGCACAAATCAATTCGTTAAAATCCATTTTTTTCATTAATTTTCAACTTCATTTGAATGTGTTTTGTTTTAATCATTCTTTATATGCTTTCATATTTTAGTAGATTTTTTTTTATATATATCTTTTTTTATTTTTTTCAACATTTTTTGATTGCTCGGGACTTGCCTGGTTAGAATGGTTGAATCGGCCGGTTTATCGGTTAGGCCTGTTCAACCGCTTCCAGGTCCGGTTAACCGTTCCAGTTCGATTTTGCAGACACTGGTTATTTCCCAAACCGAAATTACTAAAAAAATTGTTACAATGTCCTTCATGTAATCCATTGCAAAATGTTTTCTTCATTGAATCTTCAAGAGTGAGCATGTTTACAGATTGCTGTAGAACCGTATACAAAAGCAAGTGGTTTTGTTATTGTTTGAATCTGCGGTGGTTTGAGAAGCCCTGGAGCATACTCCAGGAAAAGAAACAGTGTTTGCAAGTTGATGCTAGTGAAACTTTTCCTGTGGAGAACATCAGTGAATATAGATCTTGAAGGCAAGCAACTTAATAACAATTGAGGGTAATAATTAATCTTATCATAGCAAAAGTATGAGATTGGCAAAAGAAGCTCCAGAGCAATAATGTATCCGGTTGTCCTATATACCCTATATATGAACAAGGGGATGTATTACCAATGATGGCTTATTCCTCTAATTGTCAGTTGGGCTACTGATTTTGCTATGCTAGTTTGTTGTGTTGGGAGATGGGATCTATCATTTGATGAAATCCTCGCACAGTTCTTCATCATGGATATGCTTTTGTACTTATTTTTGCTAGTGCTGTTCATCGTCGATACCTTATTTTTGCTAGAATAAGTGAAGCATCGTACATCTTGAGGAGTATCTCTTATAAAATGATGTCTTAAATGTCCAAAACTACGAAACTACGAATCAAATTATGGGATGCAACGAAATGGTAGCAAATTGGTTTTTTGTTTTGATGATCACATAAGCTTGTTGGTTTGATAGACATTTGAGTTGCATAATGAGCCCTATGAATGTCAGCTTCTCAGCCTTTGCTTTTGCAGGAATTTCTTTGTGGAGCATGTGCAATGGTCAAAGGAGTTCCCCTTATGGCTTTTGAAGATACATTTTAGCTAGTTTTTGATTGGCTAATCGCTCTCAACTTCTTGCTGTACTGAGCTACCATGGATTAATTCATCCCTTTTATAATCTATTCGTACATGATTTACCTTTTCACCGCTTCTAACCCCATTGCAAATTGAAAATAGTTGTTATATTTCATTGTGTACTCCACCAAATGATCTATATTACTATCTAATTAATGGTGAAGTTCTGATATGGTCTGTTTAACAGTTCATGCATTCTGACATATGAAAGTGATCTTTTTCTTGTGTATGGTTTTTCTTTGGAGTTATCATTGATTCTTATTTTTAATCAGGTGATTTTGTCTATACGGTGGCAACTCATTCTCCAACTAGACATTTCATAATACATTCTCGAAAGGCCCTTTTGAAAGGTCTGAGTCCTGCAGAGAATCGGACGGTTCCTCCTTTGAAGTATGCCTTCTGACTTTTGTGTGATAACATGGAATTTTTAGCTTATTATTTAAGCTGTTAGGATGCCAATTAAGGAGTATTATTGTTGGAAGTTTTAACTCTGAAGTTGACCCAAAAATTTAAGCAGATTTGAAACATTTGGTTCTTTAGGGAAATATGTTATTTATAGTTTTTCATGTTTTCAGGAATTACAAACTAGGAATTATGTATGGATTCTGTTTGAACCAATGTTTTACAACACGGACTTGCTCTGGGAATCGGGCAGGGCCCGGGCCAGGTCAACTTGGTAGATCCGAATTGACTCGGCGAGCCTTGCATGGGGCAAAAAGAAAAATCCAGAAAACTAGGAAAGCTAGGGAAAAATTCTGGAAAAAAAACAAAATAAGGAAAATCTGGAAAAAATACAGGAAGTATGTAGTCGTCGTCTTTATCATCATCATCTGAGCTTAACCTACTACTTTGAGCTGGCTACACGATTCCTATTCCACTTTATCAAGAGCCATACCCTTAGTCAAACCATAAGTCACCATATCTTTTCTCACTACTTCTAATATGTAACATTTAATGATGCTTTAGTTCCAGCCAAATTCAGATGACATCCATCAATTTCTAAGTTATAACTTCATGTTAAAAAAGTTATGTATCAAAAAAAAAAAACTTCATATTAAAGAAGTTTGCCTCCAACCAAATACACAAATATAAGAACAAGTCACATGGACAAGGACAGATGCAAAGTTTTCTAGAGACATAAAGGCACACACAATTAAAAGAAGCACTTCACCTAAACTAGATCTACTGCCAATATGAATGTCGTGGAGGGTAAGAATCATCATGGTTGTCTTGGGATGACGAACCCCTAATCCAAAGTCTCCAAGGCTAATCCCATCCTTAGCACATCTTCACAGCCATACTCATGCTGACCTCCCTCTCACTTGCTAACTCAGCCTCTGGAGTTTCCATCACCATCTTCTTCATTGTCATCTGAGCATCATCTTCTTCCCATCTTCATCTGGTTGCCCCTCTTGTTGAGCATCCTCGTTGGGCCCCTCCTCTTCGTAGACCAATCACATCCTCAAATGCCCTAATATTGATGATTGGTTCTTCCCAATCCACTACTCATTCCTTGATAGGATCTCATACAAATATTTAGTCGAGATTTATGGCGTTTTAATCATGCACTTCTTCAACTGCATCTTCTGTATGTTCAAATTATAGTGCGTGTACAATTTGTGGAGCTTCTCTTTTGCCAACTTTCTCCTCGATTTGTTGATCCACTGGAATGTACTCCAGTTTTGCTCACATCTCATTGCCTTTGTTCCTCCTTGCTTTGTTGATCCACTATAATGTACTTCAGTTTTGCTCACACCCCATTGTCTTAGGACCTTGCTTGTTAATTTTTTGCAAGTCGAGGGTGTTTCTCATGGTATCTCCCACTATTCTGCTGACAGGGGGAGGACTAATTAGTCCGAATGTGAGTACAATCACAAAGTAAAATACAATGCCACAATATGATGCTTCAAACCTATGACTACATGATTTGAAACCTATCCTGGCTCTAGCTATGTGGAACTTCTTATTGAGGCTTGTCCCATAATTTTCTTGTGCATCCGTATATAAGGGAAGCTAAAGTAATAAAGTCATGAACCAATATTCCAATGCAATACTTTACCCATCCATGGTCTCAAGTGCTGGTGTTGACCCGGGAGATAGTTGTATGCCAAGTTAAAGAAGAATCCTAAATACGATGATGAATGATTCATGACAATAGAATAGTTTATGAAATAAAGAAACGCCCACAAGACTCAAGACACATAAATCGGAAGTTTACAACTTATGATTTATTGAAAGCTACTCATTGTATGGAATGGGTGGTGCTAGAAGGTCAGTCCACTCCACTTGTCATTAATGTACTACTTGCAATTGACTTTGATGGCATACTTTGCATGGCCCATTGCTTCATATATAAATCCCATGGCGATCTCATAATCAACCATCAGGAATACTAGGCACTAACAATTTGCTCACATTTTTATAAAACCCCCAGCTATTAATAACTACTGTGACTTCACTTGCGGATGGAATCCTTGACATAGTGAAGTAACCTATTTCTCAAAGGCAACTATCATCTTTAACCCTATGTGGTTGCAGATCTGGTAATGGCCAGCCTTATCATCTCTCTTCATATGTATCTCGTCATTGTATTTAGGTTCTTTGAGTGATAGTACATAAGTTTTGTTGCTGTCTCCCTTACTCAACATAGTCCTTCATTTGCTTTAGCTCACTAATGACTTCCAACATAAGGTCAATACATTGAGCTGCACATGGGCTTCCTCTTTCTCATAATTTTTCTTCTTCTCACTCACCTAGTTCTTAGGATTATGTTGTGACTTGAACTATGTGCTCCTCCCAAAAAGTCTCCCCCTCGATAAGCAGAATCCTCCTAGCTCTATGCAATTAGGGGCTCGAAGCCAGGGGCCACATTTGCAATAGTGGACATCATGAGTTCATAGCATTCAGTATTTACTGCATGAATGGGATGACAATATCACAACCACTTAGCAATTCCTTTCAAAATGCACTTCCTATTTCTCTTGGCCCTCATGGAATTTAGGGTCTTTTGGTATGAATGGTTCTTGGGCATAAAGTGGGTTGATTCGACCTTGGATAAGCTCAAAAGCTACTAAGTCTTGGTGTTTGGGTGTAGTTTTTGACTCAAGAAAATCATTCGATGTGGCAAATGGGACAGCTTCCAATAAGTATTTGTTGGGACGGTGATGCAAATCACCCCCATTGGAAATTTCCTCTGTTCTTCTGGGTAATTTCGTCACTGAAAAAGGGCCTTTTATGAAGCCCATAAAAGTCCATTTTTAGAGAGAGAGAACATAAGAAAAAGTGTAGAGAAGTTTGGGGGATTGCAATTGGGGTTTTTGCACAAACCCTATCACCATTGTGACCTCGTATTGGGCCGGTCTGTCATCGACATTTCTTCGTGGCGACGGTCTTGGCCGACGGTGATGAAGAGAGGAGTTGATTGATCGTGGTATTGTGGTAGAAAATATCTATTGAGATTTCTTTGCCATTGTATGAGGTAATCTCTACATAACCCCAAACTTGTAAATTTCTTTCATTGATAGTGAATGTATCCTTACCCCTTGCCTGTGGATGTAGCTCATTTTATGGTGAACCATGTAAATATGTATGTGCCTTCTACTTTTACTTGTGTTGTAGACTTCTCATTTTACTTTTTTTCTTGTTTATATATTTTTTCCAAATATATACACACATTATTGTTCTTGGGTATTTTGTCTGGGTGTTGGATTCATTTTTGTGGGGTGCTCACCACATCAAGTAGGGATTTGGGTTATCCCGATTTTCCAACAAGTGGTATCAAAGAACTCAAGGAAGTGGTGTAGTATTTTTGGGAAAATGAAAACTCACAAGTTTAAGGTGAAGTTTAATGGGAAAGATAATTTTGAAATTAAAAATGCTAGATTTATTAGTACATCAAAGGCAACACAAAGCGTTGCTTGGAGAAGATACAAACCGGTAAATGTGACTAATGATAATTGGGAGGAGCTTGATATGGAGGCATGGGCTACTATTTGTATGTGTTTGGCGAATGAAGTGTTGTTTAATATTGTTGGGAAAAAACGACAAAAGATTTGTGGAAAAAGTTGAAAAGTTTGTATTAAACAAAATCTATCACAAAATTGATTTTTCATAAAAAGAAAATTGTATTCCTTGAAAGAAGGTGCAAAAGTGTCATAACACTTGAATAGATTTAACAATATCATTTGTCAACTTGAAAGTATTGTTGTGAGAATGGAGGATGACGATAAGGCGGTTGCCGAAATCCTATGATAACCATGTTACTACATTGAGTTGTAGTAAAGAAACTCATCTTGATTTGTGCTCAGTTTGTAGTGCTCTCCTTGTCGATGAACTTCGAAAGAAGGCATATTTGGGAAGTTCGGTAGAATAAAAGCAGAAGCTTTTGTGGCAAGACGTTGATCGAATGAACGGGGAACTTCATTGAGGAATTAGTCGAGAAAATCTCGATCAAAATCAAGAGGGCCTAATAACAAGAATGTATGTTGGTATTGTGGGAAGCCCGGTCGTATAAGGAAGAATTATTATAAAAGAAGGGGTGAATTCTTTTAAAGATCCTAATGCGGGAGGTGAAAGGCAAAGTGAATCTAAGAATGATACAAATCAATTTGAAGAGTCAACATTTGGATTTATAGAAGATGAAGTATTGATGGTGGCATAAAATTTTATATTCTATCAAAATTGGATAATTGATAGTGCAGCCATCCATCAAATGTACCCACATAGATCATGGTATGACTCGTATGAGTCATGTGAAGGAGGATCGGTATCCATGGGTAATAACTCAACTAGCCAAGTGGTTGGAATGGGTTCGGTCTACCTACAAATGTTTGATGGAACGATTCAGGAAAATATGGATGTTGGGCATGTGCCAAAACTAAAAAGGAGCTTGATTTCCCTCTCTTCTCTAGATATGGAAGGTTACAAGTTCACCGGTCAAAGTGAAGTAATCAAAATATCAAAAGGAGCTCTAATTGTGATGAAAGGAGTCCTAGTTGGGACCTTGTACAAGTAGTTGGGAAGCACAATAATAAATGATAAAGTGAATTCGGTAATTGAAGGTGAGGAAGTTCCATTTCGCGTATGACATAGAAGATTGAGGCATATGAGTGATTAGGGTATGGAGGTCTTGATGGAGGTGCGTTGTATTTTGTTTCGTTTATCTCAAGTTCAAAAGTGATATATTTTGTGCATTCAAGAATTTTAAAGCCGAAATATACGGGGCATCACATCAAAGTTCTTTGGACGGATAATGGTGGAGAGTTTGTACCAAAGGAGTTCGAAAGTTTTTGCAAGGCTGAGGGAATTACTAGGCATATTACACAAATACCTTCAATCCTCAACAAAATGGTGTGCTCGAGAGTATAAATTATATTTTGATGGAGCATGTG